GGAATCACGGCTTTGAGAGTCAAAAAACATACACAAACAAAACCAAATTAAACCCTGCGGCTCGTGACGATACATTGATGTGTAAAGACACGAAACGATCGGTCTGTGCAGAAACTGAACAGTATTTATATCGGTTTTTTACCTCTGATGCACTGCAATGTCCGAGCGCGTTCTCAACAGCAGGCGTGTGATGCTTCGTCTTCTTGCTTTGACACTCCTAATTGAGATTGTAGATGGAGTGTCAATGGTCCACTTGAGAGATAGGTGGCGGTAATGCACTTATAAGTCTGCGATCCGCCGTAAAGCAAGAAGAAGAAACAACAGAAAGTTAAACTCTTGGTGTTCCCAGGCAAAAATGAGCAGAACATGAGCCAAGCGGTGACCTTTTTTGAAAAGCTTAGGAGGGTTAAACAGATAGACACTGCTGTAAATCTGAAGCTCCATCAGAGGATCTCCTCCTCACCTGTTCACGGCTCAACACATCCGCCTCCCAGTCACCGCAGCGCAGCTCCAGAGATTTGTCCAGTGTGACGTTCAGGAGGTCTGCAGCCAGAGACTTCAGCCTCAAGCCGTTATTCAGCACCGCTTGCCTTCAACACAATCCGAATCATCTCGCGTCACTCCACAAGTGCTTTAAAGTGTTACTGATTAATGAGATTTGACTTTATGGCATTTAGAGACAACTATTTAACACCCACCTTAATTATCTGAACAAATGATTGAGCTGATAATGACATAACTTTGCAAACCCTGACACTGCTATTGAACTGAACTGAGCAGAATAATGACACTGCTGACTTCTTTAGAGCTGCTTATAGCGGAATTGAACTTGTTTCCAAACTGATGGACTTTGCAACATTAACACGGTTATTAAACAGAATTCAATCAACACTGAACTAAACTGAGCAGAACAATGATACTATAATTCTGTCGAGCTGCTTTATAGCTGTATAAATTGAATTAGTTTCATAATTGAATTTTAAAAAATTAACACTTTTTTTTTTAATGTGAGCTGCTGAAACAATCTGTATTGTATAAAGCGATACAGAAATAAATGTGACTTGACTTGATCATTTATAGATAGTAAGGCTGCACCATTCTGTGGGAAAAAATTCTAATTGCAATTTTTTGTATAAAAATTGTTATTATGACTTAAAATGCAATTTTTTAATCTCATATAATAAACGAAATAAGAAATATTACTATTGTTGCATTTCACTGTAAAAAAAAAAAAATTTAATAATAATAATCATTTTGGAAATCATCGTGAGAAAATTTATTTAAAATTAGTCTTTATGATTTGATCATTGCACTAAGCAGTGCTGGGTGTATTTCAATAAACTGTGCAGCCCTAATAGATAGTAAAATATAAAAAGTGCCTGAAGTCTTGGCTCAAACCTCTGTCTGAAGGCCAGGTAGCGCAGGTCCACGGTGCAACTCAGAGTCAGACCATGATCATGAGCCAGCCGTTTCCCATCCTCATAACATCCCACCCCGACCTTCAGCACACGGGGGTCAGAGAGGACCCCCACGAGACCCTCAGGGAGAGGAAGCTGTGCATTACGAAACATCAGCAGTCTGACCAGCACACAGCGGCCGGAGAACGTCGCCAGCTGGAGTAAGGAGACCGCAGAGGCCTTGCCTTTGACAGACACCTGTGAAAGCAGACAACATCGTCATCTAGTGCTGCTGCTGCTACGAACACAACATTTAAACTGAGCCACATGCAGAGCCATGCTTACACGCATGCTTTTTACCCATTCACAGTCCAATCCCAGAACCGGATAGACAGACAGGTCCTTCTGGAAATCAGGCCAGAGCGTCTCCCACTCTTCTGACGAGCTGACGATCACGGGAGGCACCTCTAACAGCGAATGCGCACGCAGAAGCTTCTGGGTTTGCGGCGGTGTCGACGGCTCTCGTCTTGCTGGCTGTGAGAGCGTGACGTCCGCTTCTAGCTGGGCTTGTACGGGCTCAGCTGAAGCGGGGCCCTTGAGGGCCTTTCTCTTCTGTGTGCGGATGCTGCGCCACAGAAACAGGCCGCCGAGAGTGGCTCCTAACATAGTGGCCAGAGCCGCGGTGAACGTGCTCGGCTTGGACATCGCTGCAGCTGCACCGACTCCCTCTGAAACTGAAAATTAATACGCATTATTAAATGTTTTGCTCACCGAAGCGGATTCTTTGATGAAAAATACAGTAAAAACTGTCATTTGTGAACTATTACTACCATTTTAAAAAACGGTTTACTATATATTTTAAACTGTAATTTATTTCTGTGATCAAAGCTGAATTTTCAGCATCATTACGCCAGTCTTCAGTGTCACATGATCTTCAGAAATCATTCTAATATTCTGATTAGCTGATTTTTTATAAATGATGAAAACAGCTGTGCTGCTTCAAATTTTTGTGGAAACCAAGTTACAATAGCAAGTCCAAAAGAACAGCATTTATTAGAAATATAATTTTTTTTAACATCATAAATGACTTTACTGTCACTTTTGATCAATGTAACGCATCCTTGCTGAAATAAAGTATTAATAATTTTTTTTTTTAATCATATATATTCTCCCAAACATATTTGGAAGTGCATCACTGTTTCCACAAAAATATAAATCAGATAAAATGTTTCTCGAGCAGCAAATCAGCATATTAGATTGATTTCTGAAGGGTCATGTGACACTGAAGACTGGAGTACTGGGTGCTGGCGATATCTGTCTCCTTAAATTGATTTCTAGGGCCATTTTTACCTTTATAAGGGTAATTTTCTAACCTTATTAAATGTGGTTTAATAAAGACAAATTCTGACATTTAATCAAATTCAGTTAGAGTAATAAGACACTACAGGATATTCAAATGAAATCTGTATCAGCTGGATTCATTCAGTGATGAAACACCACGGCTTGTTGAAACGGAATTGTTCAGAACTGCTATCATTTGTGAAATTTAGCAAAAACAGACAGTATTTGATCTCAAATGTAACTCACTCAGTATTAACCTCTTGTGACACTGGTTTATACCACAGGTCAACAAACATTTGCAATTGTGCCGATATTCAGAGAAAACAGCACTCTTGCTTGCGTCTAAATCATAATAATAATAAAAAATACCTCAAAGCCCCGTTTATATCATTTGATGCTGAAAATGGTGTGAAAAAAGTGTCTGAATATGGGCCAATGAATGAATCTAAACAATATTATCATCAGTCCACCATGATTTACTACCGAAAAAGCGTAAATTCAGAATCTGTCATGTTACTTCTCTTTGTGTAAACCAACAGTAAGCTTTATTCAAACATAACTATGACTGAAGACCTGGCTTCATGTGTTTTTAAAGTATTTTGTGTTGAGATGCTCTTCAGGAACCGCTATTAAACACAACATTGAACATACAATTCAAACAAAACCGAAACAACATCATTTGGATGAAGAGCTCGCAGTGAGTTCAGAAACAAATCAACATCAGTCACTTTAATCGCAGTGTGTTTGTGTTTATGTCAGAGATGTAGCACTTCAATCTAACGGACTGCTAGGACTCGCACATCTAAATGAATCGGTGTGTAATATGTCATTCTGTTGCTGCAGATATACGTACCTGTAAACTCAGTAGATGTCAGTGTAATGAGGGAACACTACTGCAGACACTCTCACACGCTTATGGTGAACACTGAACAGCTGCAGCGCGTCTTCTTCGGCGGGTTTATTTGATCAGCGCTCGCAGGAAACATTCGCGCCACAGCGACACCTCTGCCGAAGACGCGCAATTGCGCCAATCTCACCGAAACACTCAATGTTCAGGTCACGTCTCACCCGAAAATAAAGTTTGATAAACATTACTATTATTTTGCATTTTGAAATTATTTTCAGAAAATTAAGCACATCCTCTACACACTTCTCATTACTGTAATTCTTCTAGATCTTGTTTTGTTTTGCTACATTAGGTGTAAAACTTACCTCAAGAAAAGGTTTCAGAAAAGAGCATTCGGTCGGTGTGTGTGTGTGTGACCGCAGTAAAGATAGTTTGCGGTTTGATATTCAGATTTCTTTTGGCTATAAATACGCAGCGCGCTGTCATAGACATGCAAATAAAGTTGTTGTACCTTTCCTTGAGAAATTGGCTTCAATATTCTGATTTGCAAAAGTTTCACAGTGCAGTACTGGTCAGTTAACCCTTCCCTGATTCATTTACATCACTATTTTTATTTGTGAAAACGTTCACAGTGCAGTTATGGTCAGATAACGATTCAGTCAGTAACATCACTATTCTGATCTGTGAAAACTTTCACAGTTCAGTTTGGGTCAGCCGACCCTTCCCTGGGTCATGTACATCACTATTCTGATCTGTGGTAACTTTCACAGTTCAGTTTGGGTCAGTTGACACTTCCCAGGTTCATGTACATCACTATTCTGATCTGTGGTAACTTTCACAGTTCAC